AATCCTGGGATGTAGTAGTGGAAGAATGAATCATAGAATTCTGTAACTAGATGATGATGGAAAAGGCAAACTTAAGAGGAAATAAGACATTTGGGCATTTGCTTTTATGTAAAATGAGAAGTGCTGTCCTGATTAAAAGTAGGTTATGTTACTTTATGTTACTTTGGAGGGAGCACGATGGCTTAGCAGTTAAGACGCTGAGCTTGTCAGCTGGAAAGCTGACAGCCTGGGTCCTGAGCGCTGCATGACGAGGTGAGCCCCTGTTACTTGGCCCAGCTCCTGCCAACCCAGCAGTTTCAAAGCATGCAAATGCAAGTAGATAAATAGGTGGAAAGGTTATTGAGTTCCATATTTTCACACTGGCCACATGATGATGGAAACATCTCTCAGACAACGAGGAGATGAGTATCGCCCCATTGGGTCAGTCATGACTGGACAGGGAAACATTTAAACCTTTTGTTACTTTATCACTAATCTTTTCTGTAACAGTGTGATTAACCAATACTTAAAGCACAGAAACTAAAGGTCCAATCCCTTTCAGCCTTCCGAAAGTGACAGTGTTGGTTTACTTCAAATTAAAAGTCACAGTTGAGCTTATGGATCTAAAGCTTCCTCTTGCCATCTGAACTATTTCAGCACCCACTGTGGCAGTAATAAGGTTAGTCTGAGGGAGCCCTTGATAGGATTTCTTGGCCAAATGGCCCTTCCCCCTTCCTGCTCATATTGTCACCTCTATAATGGCCACTACATTTTGTATGGCGATACTTATCTTTTCTTGCTCCAAAATCCCACCTTAAAAGGAATAAATCCTTTTCAGGAAGGGGGTGTTTTGCTTTATTTAAATAAGGAGTCTGGCTAAGCAGTGACTATGTATGGCTTCTTGATTGGTTTGATGGGGCTGGGCACAGCCATGTTTGAAGAAGAAAAAGGAACCAATCCCACTTCCTCCTCCTCAAATCTCTTTGAAAGAGGGAGAAAGTGATATCATTTTATCTGTTTTGTAAAATGTTTTAACAGTGAGAATAATTCATTGGGAGTGTATCTGCAAGACACCCTGATAATCCAGAATGAACACCAGTGAGTTCCTTCATGCAGCTCCTGCTCACTTGATACAGCAAAATTGCATCCATTATGATTATATCATCATTAAAATGGTGCTCCTGCCACAAATCAACTAATACAATTTATCTGAGAACAGTTATTCCAAAGACAACACAATATTTTATAACAAACATTTATAATCCAGTTTACAACAAAGTAATCCATCATATAAACAAATGAATTGGTCATACACTAAATAAATATCTCTAAAGAATAAGAATTAACATTTCATTTTTTTTTTCATTTCAGGACCTGATCCGGCAAGTCCTTTATACACAGAATTCCCTGTACAGTCATCAAGTTCATTCATGCTATATGTTGAAATTTTGTCTGAGCAAACCATGTTAATTTAAGGCTATGGACAAATATTCAACATTTTTATCAAGGAGTTAAAGTAAACTCTCATGATTTTTTGCATTTGAAATTATCAGGGAGAGCTTAGCTTTTCAAATACAGTCAATTGACATTTTAAAAACTTCAAGTTAACAAGAAATATTTGTGTCCCAAACAACAGATAAAGAAAAAAAATATCTAGAAAAGGAAATTACAATATGACAATGTAGTAAGAATACACATTTTGGAGACACAGTTTGTTTTTCACAAGTAGTTATGCATGTCACTCCATAACTATAAAACAAATTCAGACAGAATGTTTTTAATTTTCGTTACCCTTTCTAAGTCCCAAAGTGATGAGAATTCTTTAACCTGATAGGTCTAGGCAGCATTCTGGATTTGAAGGGAAAAAGATGTTTTGGGGTATGCTGAAGTGCAAGCATAGCAACTTGCAACTTTTTAAAGCAGCTATATTTTTTCGTAGGAATGTGGATATAGGACAGTGATGGCGAACCTTTTAGAGACCGAGTGCCCAAACTGCAACCCAAAACCCTCTTATGCATCGTCGGGTGCCGGGTGGGTTTGGCCCATTGGGTGGGTGTGGCCCATTGGGTGGGCGTGGCTGCAGTGGTAACGGCAGACTGGGTGGGACTAAAAAGTTCAATCAATCAATTCCAACTTTGCAAGATCTTTTTTTCCCCGCGAGAAGTTGAAATTGACTGATTGATTGAACCTTTTTTTTTTTTCACACGGCAGTGGAGGCCTAAAGCAAAAAGGTTTTATAAAACCCAGCTGAAGGCCTAGGACTGGGGCGACGGCGCGCGTGCCCACAGAGAGGGCTCTGAGTGCCACCTCTGGCACCCGTGCCATAGGTTCGCCACCACTGATATAGGAGATGAGTCTGAGTCTGAGCCTGAGGGAGGGGTCAAAGGTATTATCAGTCATAGTCCCTTCACACCTACAAGAGATCTAAATCCAGCCTACCCTGAATTCCTTTGAATTCCTTGAATTTATCTACCACCAATTTGCTTAGTAGTAGATAGCCTAAGTTTGCAATAAATCTTTATATTCATTTGAACTGCTTGGATCTTCTGATTTCCCTAGCACTTGATAGAGGAGCTCCAGAGGTGCATTTTACGGAGTTGCCACAGTTGATGTCAACACTCCAAATTATTTGCCTTAAAATCTCTTTGCCTATAGTCTATCTTATTTTATAAGATAATAGATGTACTAGTACTTCATTTATGAAGTCAAAATAGCATTTCAATTTTTTTTTTGCATATCTCATGTATAATTGACTCCATTATTTCACTTACGAGTCAGGCTTGACTCATGGCAACCACATTATTTTCTTGGCAAAATTTTTGGAAATAGTTTGCCACTGCCTTATTCCTAAGGTTGAGAGAAAAGACTGGCCCAAAGTCACCCAGCTGACTAGAACTCACAGTTTCCTGGCTTTTAATCTAGCACCTTCAACCATTACACCAAATTGACTTTCTTAATTCATATTATAGTTTTGATATTCCATACGCTAATCGTGAATTTGAGAATGTATGCAAACATCATCTTATATTACATTACATTAAATGTTAAGTAATGGGCCAACTAAAATAGTAGCTTATTTGCTACAGCAGATATGTAATGAAGCTAGAAAGGTTGGTAGTGTAGAAAACCCAACCATATAAATAAAATATACTAATTGCTATTGATCTGGGAAGGATTTGCAATATGTAATTTTGAATCAGAATTAATTACAGCAGCAGTGGGATTTGTACATGTGTACATAGGTACGAAAATGAAATTATACCTCTGTATAAATGTGGCACGCAGAATTGGAACACTGCTGGGAATGATATCTAAAATGAGAGAAATTACCACTGTTACAAGAAAATACTAGAGTAACATGCTGTGAAAAAAAAGGAATATACAAAACAAAAATAACATCTAGGGAGAATCTTTGGTGTAATGGTCAAGAGACTATGTTGCTTTGTGCTGAATTTCTAAACCTATAGCAAGAAATATGTATTTCTTACTATACTTAATCTAAGTTAATAATATCTTGATTCTGAAACATGATTGCCATGGTTATTTTTGTTATTTATAAAAGAAAGTTGAATAAGATGCAAGTATATCTTATTCAGAATACCTATCTCTTGCTCTTTCGCAATTTGGTTTAAGATATATACTGCCAAAGCAAGCATGCTATGTGCCAATTAAACTGTGAGAATTGCCGATTCCATTAGATGTCTCAGGAAATAAGTTCAGATTCTATCATGGCCATTACAAGATATACTGTACAGCACCTTTTCTTAAAAATACCAGATATTATTTATTTAGAGATGCTTGCTATGTTCTTTAAAGTTGATCACATTACATTGGTCATCAGGTTTAGCATATATTTCTTGGGAATGTTTCAGATTTTTTAAAAATGTTACAGTTACATGTCATAAACTTGTTCAAATCATCATGGTCGTGGTTTGTGTTCATTTTAACAGAACATAACCATCTAATATTTTTTCACTATCCATAATATATTTTCTGGAATTTTTGGATTTTCCAGAGAAGGAAATCTTAACACATTCCACTTTCTTCCAATATCTTCACTATTATAAATATATTTGCAAGAACTTTGACCAGCAATAGTACCTTCATAGTTAAATAATTACATTTTTTTTAAAGTTTAACAATTGATTTAGAATATGAATATTAACACAGAATTATAAAAAGACAATATTAAGTACCCTTTGATTTCCCTTTGTAACAAGTGCAGTCTTATGAAAGGAATTAGAAAACTATGTATATATTAGACGTTCAATCTAAACAGAAACAAAGCAAAATATTATTGTCATAGAAAACACAAGATCACATGCCTATTCTTTATTATAAATAATCATATTGTGTCATGATTTCTTCTTGCCAGCAAATGAAACTGATTGTTTCGTAACCTTCTCAACATATGCAGATATCTGATTAAGCTATGTTTTCTTGAGAAAATACAGTCCATTTGAAGAATACTGAAGAGGTCAATTTGATATGCTGTTTAAGGGTCTTGGTAACCAGTACCATTGCACCTGGAAAATGTATTTTTCCCTTATTTTAAAAAATAGATGAGTCCATTATTTATTACTTAAAAATTATAAAGAATAGTTTTTATTTCAGTCCTCATATAAATTATAAAACTCAAGTTTGCCAGAGTCTCTTTCCCAGAGGAAGCATAAAGCACTTTTGTGATACCTTCACTGAAAAATATTTGTATCACATTAAGTTTGACAGACACAATCAAGATCAATATTGCATCCTGAAGTCCAAAGAGACTATTCTTCTGATGCGGTCCTCGTGATGGATGTTATCTATGCAATTGCTCTCTTGCAATGATTTCATTCAGTTTATGAATCAAGAACAGAAAGACACATCAGTTCAGCAGGAATCTCTAATACTCCTAATAGATGTTTGTTAAAGGGCAAAGACAAATCCTTTGGAAGACAAAGAGAAGTTTAAGAATGTAATGATAAAAGAAAAAAGCAATGAGGTAAACTTCTCCTAGGAAGCCAGTCCTAGTTAAAATATCAGGAGAACGTATTATTATACCTAAGACCTAAATGCTTTTCTAGCCATATTTCAGCTAATTGCATTGCAGAGCCAAATGTACTTGCTTTAGACCCCAAGCACATCTTATATTGTTTAGACTCTAGACTGGGATCACAATGAACTGGATGGAACACATGCACAACCCCCACTTCTTGGCTTCTAAATGCCTTCAAGCCAGAAGTTGTCACTTTAGTAAAAAGGTCTACATCCTCAAGTCCCCAACCTTGAATTGAGGTATCAAATCCACCTGCATTTATAAGATCACTTTTATAAATGCAAGTGATACCAAATCCATAATCTCTCCAAAACCCTGTTTTCTTGGTGAAAACAAAGTAACTGTCCAAAGGAGGGTGGTCTCCATAGGTTACTTTAGGGTCATATTGGCTGAAGATAATAGGATAGTAAACTTGTTCTCCTTGGATAGTGTTAACTCGACACCGCTGAAGAAAGTCTGGAGTAAATATTAGGTCAACATCACAGAATAGTAGCAATGTATCGTTATCAAACTGAGAGGAAGCCGTTTCAAGACCCAAACCTCTTGAAAAAGCTCCTGTCATAGGAATAACAGTGATGTCCGCTATAGGATACTTATTGCGATATGCATTGATCAACTCTATGTGTTTAATGGACTCCTGACTAGAATCTGGGCTAAAGAGAATAACTGCCAGCCGCACGTTCTGCTTGGTAACAAGGCAAGTCTTTTCAAAATTCTCCATAAATCTCAAGAAAATATTGTATCTTCCTGTGAGAGGGACAAGAATGTGTATCTTCTTATTATTGCTTCCCCTTAATTCTTTGGTGTCTTGAAATGGTGAAAACATCTTCAGGGAATTAGAAAGGAAAGAGAGGGATTGTGTGTCACTCTGCCCATTTTCCGTCACACTTCTTACATCCAGGTCTTCTTCCTCTCTGAAAAAAGGCTTACTAAATAATTGTTGAAGGTAAGCATGTCTTCGAACTGGAACAGTGACTTTTCTTCCTTTGTGCCTTTTATATAAAAGCAGCAAATCTAATATATACTCTACACCATGCAGAGGGTCAACCCTGCGGTATCCATACTGTATTTCATTGAAGTCAATAAGCCTTCCTCTAGATTTAGAGTTCTCATTGATTATTTCCATTACCTGCATTACAGTGTCATCTAATGCTGCTCGAAGGACGTTATTAATGTTTTGCCTAGGTGGCTGATTCTCAGCTATTGAATAAAGGAGCTTTCCAGTCAGAAAATCCCATTCAATGACTTCATTCCTGTCACGGGGCTGGAAACGACTGAAAGATGGTGTCATTCCCAGAAGCTGATCTTCTTTGTTTATTTCATCATTACTGAGCTTGCTCATGAGAGCACTTTCTCTATGGAGCTGGATGGTGCGGTAACGCAGTTCTGAAATTTTGCGAGTCAATATGTAGTTATGAAGTCTATATTGATAGGCTGGTCTTTTATTTGGATGAAGTGTAATTGCGGTGTGAATTTTGCTGTTGTGAAGATCCTGTATGTAACCCTTCCGGTTGCGTTCATAGTTTTCATGGAACAATTGCTGCATCTAGGAAAAAAATAGAATAGCATTAGGTATCAGCTAAATATTAAGTAAATCATGTTTTATTTTATTTTCAAGCATAAATATATTCATTATTTGGAGGTTATTTGGAGCTATGTTTTGTTAGGAGATGACATGAATATACAACATAATTAATCTAAACACATTCCTAAAGACTTATTAAGAATTAAAATCAGAAAGGAAATCACATGCTTCATGGGGACAGAAGAGACAGAGGTCACCTGGTGATCTGATGATTTATTAAGTTCTAAATCATATGTAAATCTTGATAAAAATGCTTGAATTTCAGAGAGAAGACAACCAAAATAATATTATATTTGTAGATTATACAGGTTGATTATAAAATCACAAATGATTGGGAATATATTTTGTACATTCCTATGAGGCGAGCAAGCATGTATTAACATTATAAATTTAGTTACAACGAAATTAAGGATATACCAGAAATTTAAAAAGAGTATAAACTTTTAAATATGGTCAGTGGTCAGAAAATGTCCATCTTCTCTAATGGGAATATTCAATTAAGTGAATACTTTGAAAATAAAGTAATTTGCAACTTCAATCTGTTTAAAAAAAATAAAAATAAGAATTCAGAAGGTTCTTTTAAGTATTAACAGTCAAGATATTCAGAAGAATGAGTTCAGGACTCATATTTTGTTTCCAATTGCTTCCTAAAATTACATGAAAAACTAAAATCAAAACAAACCAGAAAAAAAAATTCTGACAGGAAATTACCATGAGTGTAGTAATATAAATAATATAGGCAATGAAGAGAAAAGTAAAAGTAAAATTATAGAGTGCACTGAAAAGCTTTCTACATTTTTAATCAACATTAAAGTAAAAGTCATGAATAAGAGTATTTCACCTAGAGGAGCTTTTAATTATTTTTCATATTTATCAATTGAGGTGCCATTTTATTCCAATGTGCAAGGTTAAAAAAGAGAAGCAAATCCAATAATGTTGCCCAGAAAACCCAATGAGAAAAGCCATCACCCCCATCATATCTTTACCTTGTCTATCTCACAGGCAACATATTTAGGACTGCTGAAATATTTGTATTGCAGAAATCACATGTAACATAATTGATGAAAGCAATAAATTGAATCTCCCTAAATGCATCATTATTACATTTCATTTGTCCAAGGTAAGGCAACTTACAGATTGATAACTGGCAGAAATATTTGCTGGATTAACCCAAAGCTAATTCATAGGATTTTTAGAAAGAATGATGGGAATACCACTGTCGTGATGCCTACCACACTGCCAACAGTACCCAACATGCGTCCAGCATACTACAACATATACATCGGTATTTTAATCAGTGTGGGAGATAAACTAGTGCCATCTTAATTAGTGCACTATTTCAGAAGAACAGGTGCCCACTTTAAATAATATCAGCAGGAGAAGGAATGGCAGAACCTGGAGATGGAATGAAAAAGGGGATCAGTCTAGAATCCCTATATAACCACTAGCAAACTGAACCCAACCTCTTCTTGAGTGTCATTAACCCTTATCTAAATCTAAGCAAGTGCTGACCATTAGTTAAGAAGATTCCTGTGCATAGGCTTTCAGAAATAAATCAGCTTAATTGAACCTTTAGGAGTGGACCTATTTTTTTGCACCTAACAATATCTCACTCACTGTTCCTTGCTACTTTACTAAACCTATTTTTATTGTTAGATATAATAAGTCCTCCATGCATAATCAATAAAATTAAGTGCAATTTCCTCTTAGCTAATTTTATTAACATTAATATTTTATAATAACTTATGAACTTCCCTAGAGCTAAACATCTAATTAAAATAACATAAGCATGGTAAGATGTCTATTACAGTATTTCTGTTAAAAGAAATTTTAATTATATTGCCATAATACTTTTCTACAGCCATAGTTATGTTTTGTTAGGAGATGAGATGAAAATACTTCATAATTAACATAAATGCATTACTAAAAACTTTTGAAAACTGAAATCAGACAGGGAATTACACGCTTCATAGAGATTGAAAAAAAACCCCATTTATTTGATACTCATAACTAGGGGGAAAATAGGGAGGGGAGCTGCATAACAGATTTAAAATGCACAAGCTTAAAAACAGCTTCTATATGCCTGAGGCACTTTCTGGTATCTTAGAAATATAATGAAACATAACAAAATAGTAATATTTTCTTCCCTCATTAGCTCCCTATCTGTATCCCCTCCTACTTTCTCACAACCCCATTTATAAAACTGTACCTTGAGATCCTGTTAATCGACTCTCTAAAGATTTTATTATTATTATTGACTGTAGACCCTCATCTTTCAGTTTATGTACACACTCAAGGCAGCCTAGAATAATTTTAAAAAATACACATTATAATTAACACAATTAAAATCATGGACAAGCAAGCAGATATTCTATTCCAAATACAACACTGTTCTAAATTAAACTCTAAGCCATATGCCACTAATCCAAGCCTTTCTCCATCCCCCCATTTGGAATCAGGGCAAGACTCAGAAGTACATGTCATGGCCCATGGAGAAAGGAAAAGGTAAGATGAGGGGGAAGCATTATACTCCTGGCCAGGTTGCTTTGGGGGCTGCACAGGAGTGGCTTTGGGCAGTTACCATGAGTACAAAGGCAGTGGCTTGACAAAAACCACAACATAACCATGTGTAGCCAGAGTTTTATCCCTTCAAAATTGCTTGTGTCCCCAGGGATTGCCACCCATAATTTGAAAACTCTTGCTATATTGTAACTATAAGCTACAATCTTGTGTATTTTAAAAAAAAACCTGTAATGGTATGTGGGAAAGACCCTGGGACACAGGATGAAGTGGTGCTACCTAGGGAATAGTCAGATAAGTGAGGGCATACCCTGCAGCTGGATAATGGGCAGAGGAAGAAACTTAGAAGGGGCCCTTCCTATTTTCTTGGAGTATAAAGGAAATAGTATGAGTTTTGTGCTTTCAGCCTTGTAAGATTTTGTTAATATAGCCTTAAAATAACATAGAATTAACTCATGTGTTGTGTTTCCTGTCTGATCTACCTGGTACGACTGAAAAAAACTGGATACACATCTAAATGTGCATTAAGGTGCACATTAGAAGTTTATACTGAGTTTTTATAAATGTGTATTTTATTTTTTAATTTTAATACTTTTCTTCCTGCTATTCATGATAAATTAGTTTCCACTTTCACTAAATTTAGTGTGCTATTACCACTGTTCCATATGGCTAGATGCAAATATTCTATTACTTACAATATTCAGAAGTAGCAATAGAAATCCAAACTAATTGGAATAATCAATTTGATGGAGTAAAAGGTGATCTGGAATTAATAATGGGAATGTTATTTATAAAAAAAAAGGTTTCACTGCTACAAACATAATTGTGTGTTTAAGCACACATACACACATCATTTGCAGTTACAACTATTTTCAAATTAATCTGTGACAAGTTAATATACATGAAAAATATATTAAAACCAAAGAAAAAAATATAAAAAGAAATGACTTCCATCTAGTATTTCAACCAAAAATCTCTTCCTCCCATCTTTTATCTATTAGCAAATAAAGCCTCATCATTCAATCTTATTCAGCAAAACTTCATTAAGATCTACCAGAAATAACAGTATTTATTTATCCAATTTAGAAACTGCCCATCTTCCTCACAGATACACACAAACACTTTAAACAAGTAAAACCATTTCTTGTTACCAGAAACCAGCTACCAGAAACAACATATTAAAAATTGTAATCTTTTAATTCCTTCAAATGACATCCCACAAATTAATTTCTTATCATCTCTTCATCTTCTCTCAATTTTAAAAGCCATACTTATCATTTTCTCTACAAATGCAACAGAAACTCTCTTCTTCCCATATGCTGTACATAAACAAATACTTAAAGCCTCATCATTCAGCCCTAGTCAAGAAAAACCCATTAAAAGCTACTTTTAAAAGATCACACACATTTTAACTTTGGTCGAATAAGCCAATTTTGTAAACCTTTGTTTTATTTTGAGGTCTTGATGTTAATTATCATAATCATTGTCCATATTGAAAGGATAATTTATACCAAATTTGCTAATGTAATATATTTATGAAAACTGAACCATTAAAAATTAGACAGGGATGGCAAAAGGGGAGGGGGATTTATGACCTCTCTCCTTATGGGCAGGATCACTCAAGGGTGGGATTAAATTAGGCTTAGTCTGCTATGCCAAAATTATCTCTGACTCTACTAGTGCTAATGCATGTTTTTGGAACTTTTCAGAGATGTCAGAATTGAAGAGAAAAAACTGGAGAAAGCCACAAAATACAAAGATTTGTAAATAGAAGTAGAGTGGCTTTGACAAAAGAAAGTAAAGATAGTATCAACAGATGCCTTGGCTGCAATCCAAAAGCATCTAGTGCACCACTTGAACACTCTCGACATTGACAAAATCACTACCAGTCAACTACAAATGGAAACTTTACTCAGAAAAGCTTACATCCTGCGACGATACCTTTAAACACGATCAAACAACATCTCCCTCTGCCAGGTCCTTGGGAAGGACTCAGTAAGCCAAACCCAATGAAAACCTCTGGCTGACTGTGCAATCATCCATAACAGTAATACAGTAGGAACAGTTGACTCAGATGTAACTTTATAACTTAGTTTGGAAAACAAGAAAACATATACCATGCTGTACATCCAAAAACCAATGTTGATCAGACATATTTACAAGAACCAAAGAGGACTCCTACAGGTGAAACAAACTGAAAAAAAGAATACTAAGCTTGAATACTAAGACAAACTAAGAACCCTTATTGAAGGAAGTCAATCAAAGAAAGCTCTTGAAAACAACAAAGAAACAGGCTGAGTATAGGAAAGAAACAATCCAAAAAAAAAATGTATTAATTGGATGAACAAGCCAATGCATGGACAGGTTCACTCATTGTTTATATACAGTAGCTTGTCCTGCCAATGTTGGTGGGAGCGTAGTTTCCCTTGGTGGTTTCTTGA